GACCTCGCCTTCCCCTCACTGGGCTTCAGTTTCTCTATCTGTAACAGAACGGTTGGGTTGTTGGCTTATCTCCAAGATTCCTTCCAGCTCTGACTTTATTGGAAATTATGTCTTAGCCACCCTGGGTATCAGATTCCAAACTCCCCCAGAGGCCCTATGTCTGTCACTATGGGAAACTGAGGTGTGGAAAACCTGTGCTTCCTGATGTCAGGTTTGGCTGTGGTGGTAAAGAAAGCCCTGGGGCCCCTGGGGAACAGCCTGGGGCCCCCGGAACAGCCTTGGTCCAAGACGCCCCAACCCAACACTGCCTTCATCCCCTTCCAGTCTACACCAGCCTTGACCATTTGTTCCCATTGCTTACCGGCAGCCTGCTTCTCCTCCTCAAGTCAGCAGGAGTGTAAATATTTAGGTAAAGACAGTCTTCGGAAAACCTGAGATTAATGTTCTCCTTTCTGTTGGTAAAGAGCTCTGAGATCACTTGCCCTGCCACTGGGTCTTGGGAGAACCTGGGAGAGGCAAGGAGAGAAATGAATTCTTGAAGTTCAATCAGAGCTGACCAAGGAGATGTCTCCTGTGGTCAGGCCAGGTCTTGGACCGGGAGAATTAAGCCTGTAAATAGAGTTGTTCTTACCAGATTCCAGACACTGGAATGCATAGGAGGATACCTGGGGGATCATGATGGAGGGACCTGGGGCTCACCAAGGTCTCCCGGGAGAGTGAATAGTAAGAAGGCCTGGCACCTTCCCCTTCCAGGAGCCTTCAGGATGCTTTGTGTCAAGAAGAGGATGCTGCTTACATGCCTGGGAATGGATCATTTTCTGCATGTCCTGGTCGCGGCTGACTCTCTGCTGGGCTCTGCATAGTGAGTGCGGGGTGACCACGTTCCTCTACCAGGTAAACCAGGTGTTCCAGTCCATGGGATACTTCCAAAAACCATGAGAAGTCACTCTATTTGTAGACATTTAAGGCATGCAACAGGTCAAGGACAAAATATTTGTGGTGCAACATTAGGAGAACTTTATTCTAGTCCTGCCTCAGCCACTTATGTGCTGGGTGACCTTGGGTGAATTCCTTCTCGGCTCTGGGCCCCAGTCTGCCATGTCTAAGTGAGGGGAGTGATTTCTGTAAGGGTCTTGCAGCACTGACATGCTAAGATTCTATCATCAACCCATCTGGTCAAGTGCTATTTGTTGCCCAAATAATGGATCTTAAAGATCCAACAGAGATAATTGGTAATATTTAATCTTCAGATCAGCTCCATGATATAGGTTCTACTATTATCCCCATTTTACATTTGAGAAAACTGAGCCACAGAGAGGTTACAGAACCTGCCCAAGGTCACACAGCCAGGAAGAGCCATACTATGTAGTGTTTATGTTTCTGAAGACATTATAAGCAACATTTTCAGATTTCCAGAAAGCAGGCATGACTGCTCCCAGTATGTCAATGAGGTAACTGAGGCACTGAGGTGTTTGGATGAAACAGCTGTCAAGTGGCAGGGTCAGAGCTGCAAAGGCAGCCTCTTGATTTCCATCGTGGGGGAACTTTCCCCAGATCACCAAGGCAAAGGGCATATTATTCATAAAAGAAGAAATTCAAAAATTAAAAAAGGGAAAGAGAGTTCAACATCCCTAGTATTCAGATAATTGCAGAATAAATTTTAAAATTATATAATTATGATGATAATTATTATTATTTTGCCTATCCAATAGTCAAAACAATGTTTTAATAATCCCAAGCATTGGCAAGGGTCTGGTGAATGAAAGTTTTCATATATTAATGGAAGGAGTGTAGTTAGAACATTTCTGGAAGGAAATTTAACAAAAGGTTATACTCTTTTCCTCAGAAATGTCATTTCTTGGAACTTATCCCAAAATACTGTGAATGTGCATAAAGGTTTGGCTACGTGATGTTCATCACGGTGCTAATTATATTATCAGAAACATCAAGAACAACTTAACAATCCCAAATAAGAGATTGGGTAAATAAATTATTATTCAGTACCCAGTGTAATATAATGTCAGGCTGTGATATTTAATGACATATAATGATGTTCATGATACATTTATAAATAAGCAAAGCAGGCATTCAAAGTATCTGTATCCTGTGATATAATAAGAAATATATTTTTGGTCTTCTTCCCATTTCTGGCAAAGAGCTCTTAAAACCCTTGGAATTTCCTAAGTGATGAGAGTGATAAATGTGTCTTTTGTTGTGTTAATGAGGTGATTCTGGACCTTACCTAAGGATGGGAGCTGATTATCAAGAGAACCACATGTGATTCCAGGTTTGGAACGTTCAGATCCACCCCCTTGACCTCTGGGGAAGGGAAATGGGCTGGAGGTTGAATCAATCACCAGTGGTCAATGATTTCATCAATCCTGCCCATGTACCGAAGCCCAAAAGGCTAGAGTTAAGAGAGCCTCCAGGTTGGTGAACCAGAACTCTTCCAAGTGCCAACGTGCTGGGACCAAAACTCCGCAGGACAGGAGCTCCTTTGTGTCTCATGTTATGTATCTCTTCATCTGGCTGGTGATTCATATCCTTTAATATTCTTCATAATAAACCAGTAATCTAGTGAGTAAACTAGCATCCTGAGTTTTATGAGTTGCTTTAGCAAATTAATGGAACCCAAGGAGGGGGTCATGGGAACCTGTGACTTACAGCCATTTGATCAGAAGCAGAGGTAACAACTTGGACTTGAGATATCATCTGAAACGGAGGGCAGTATTGTGGGACTGAGCCTTTAACCCATATAATATGATGCTGTCTCCAGGTGGTTAGTGTCAGAATTGAGTTGAATTGTAGGATACCCAGCTGGTGTCAGAGAATTGAGTGTTGGTGTGGAAAAAAGAAAATAAATATTGGAATTGTGTGCAGAATCTTATGTGGTTACATTTTAAGGGATAAAATATGCAATAGGTAAGAGACTACAAAAACAGAATCTAAAATATGAATGGCAGTTCTCTCTAGGTGGTAGAAGTATATATAATTTTCATTTTCTTACCTTTACTTTCTCACTTTTCTGTAATAAGTATGTATTACACTTGCAATCAGGAAATAAAAACAGTGAATATTATAAAGAAAAGAAAGCAGGGAGAGTTGGAGGGAGGAAGGGAGGATGGCAAGAGTAGAGGAGAGAAAAGAAAGAAAAGGAGAGGAGAGGAGAGAAGAGGAAAGGAAAGGACAAGAAAAGAAAGGAAAAGAAAAAAGCAGGGAGAGGCAGGCCCCTGGAAATTCCCAGAAATGCCTTGCTGAGATGAAAAAGGTCTTAATCCATGCATGTAGATATCCCAGGTGTCCTGGGGGATGACTTCAACATCTTTGCCCAACATGGCCAGAGTGACCAGGATACACCAACCAGTGCTCTGCTCCTTACTAGGTAACAGTCACACCTGGGAGTTGGGAACTTGACTGGTCAACACCCCAAAGACTCCCCACCTACACATCTGGCCCACCTCCCCAACTACAACAAAGTTCAAGACAGGAGAATAAATAGAATCATTACTTCTGATCTCCCTCACCTGCTCAACTCTTTATTTTATTCCAAAGCACTTATCCTACTCTAACATATTACATAACCTATTGCTTTGCATATTGTTCAGTGTGTCTCTCCCTGCTAGAATGCAAGCTGCATGAGGGTGGGATCTTTGTTCTGTTCACTAATGGATCCCAGGAAACTAGAACACGCCTGGCACACAGGAGGTGCTCCATAAATATTTGTTGAATAAATGGCTCTAGAATGCTGTGAGAGTTCTGAAATGTTTGTAAGGATCTACAATATCTTAGGATTCCAGAACAAAGTATGAGCCACTCAGAGGATCGCCTTGGCTCCTTCCTGCATCCCTTTGAGGCTAACATCCCCACTGGAAGATGCCAGAGTCACACCTTGACTTACATGGGAGGGTAAGAGGTGGTATTCTTCACGAAAATCCATGGTTCTGCAGGCTGCGGCGGAGCAAACCTCAAGGATCCACGAGGGGGCTTGGCAAAAGGGACTCCCAGGAAAACGGCCACAGGCTGTGCAAAACCTTCTAAGCTGACGTATTTCCCCAGGACTCTGCCTTGCGCGGTGTCCACAGCAGGCAGTGAGGGTGGTTGCCCTGCTGGACACTGAGAGGAAATGAGAACATGTCAGTGGTGAAGGTGTGAACTGGATTCTGGGTGAATTTTGTTACTTTTGTCACGTGATCTTGAATGTCCCCTCAACTCTCTAAGCCTCAGTTTCTTCTTATGTAAGAGAGAGTGAAGCTAACTGTCCTTCCTAACTCACAGTGCTATCTGAAGGAGCGAATTGGAATTGGAGGTATAACAGCATCAAATAAGACATAAATGCAAAAAGAAGAGCCACTGGGAATGAAGAAGGCATTCAGTTTCCACACTGAGGAGCATCTAGAAACAACCACTGGATGCTGGTGCCGAGCTGCACGCTGGATGAGAGGATGAACAAGAGCAGGTTGCTCTTCTCAGAAATCTGGCCTTATGTGGAGGATGAGCCACATACATACCTGACCCTACTGCTGGGAAGAAAGTGGTCTGTGTCCTGAGAGAGGTACCAAGTAAGGTGCCATAGGAGACAGAAGAGGGAGCGAGGCCTTCTGACTGGTGGCTTCATGGAGGCAGTGACCTTGGAGCTGGGACTTGCAGTAGTGGAAGGAGTGACAAGGGGAGGTGGAAGAGGGTGCTTAAAGGTATAAACAGAGATGAGATTGTGCAGAGGTGAGGCTCTGTGACAGCAAAGTGCAAGACCTGCTTGAGGAAGAGCGATTGGCCCATTTGGGTCAGGAAGAGTAATGGGGGAGGAACATAATCCTGGATGAGACAGGTTCATGTCTGGGAGGGTCTCAAACGCCAGGCCAGTGATTCGGGCTTTATTTAGTGGGTAAATGAGCAGCAGTGAACTGTCCTGGAGTAAAAGAGAGTGACACAATCAGCTTGAAGAGGCCCCTTCTGCTGGCTCTGAGCACGGTCATGCAGAGGGAGCGAGACGGGCTCAGATTCCATCTGTCCCCTTCTCGTGGAGCAGACAGTTCTTTCTCACTGAGCTGAAATGCGTCTCCCTGAAGCTGCCACATCAGTCCTGGTCCTACCTGCTCTGGGACATCCTGCACCTTCATGTGACAGGCAGCCTTAGTGACCCATGTTCATACCCATCCCTCAAGTCTTCTTTTGTCCGTCCTCAACAGCTTCAGTTTGTTTAAGCATCCTAACAGGAAACGATTTCCAGCCTCTCATCCTCCCAATTGTTCCCCTTTAGATATAGACACAAGGTCAACCTCTCTCTCAAAGTATGTGGCCAGAACAGAAAAGAATAACCCAGGTTTGGTCTTACGGATAAATCTGATGATAACCCTCAAGAGAGATGAAGTGGACAGATGTCCAAATGGCAAGGGTGAAAAAGTGGGCGATTGGCTGAGAGGTATAGGCAATACTGGTAACAGCAGCAGTTACCACTTGTGTTATACGTAATGTTTGTATACTGAGCACTTACTATGTGCTACATGGGCATTCCAGTTCCTTTAAACTAATCTTCACAAAAGCCTTGCTAGGTAGACATTAATATGTCCATTTTACAGATGAGGTAACTGAGGAAATGGAGGCAGCCAGTATGGACTTTCTAAAGGTAGAACTGGCATGGCCCTGCCAGCGGGTAAACAGCAGTAAGGGAATAATCTGTCCCTAATTTGGTTCTTACTCTGCTCTTACCCTCAGTTCCAGGCCTCTCACAGTGTCATAGGCCCAGGAAGAAGAGAAAACCCAGTGGAGCCTGGGCTGTCAGTGCACTGACAGCCAGAGCACTGGCTCTGGACTCAGGAGTTAGAGATAGAATTCAGAGCATGATTTTCCGGTTGACCTTGGGCATGTACATTTCCCTCTCTGAGTCTCAGTTTCCCCATCTATAAAATGGCACAGATGCATTCTGAGGTCCCTTGCTGCACCCTTGTATTAATCAGGTCTTTTATGTTCTGTATTCTGATGCCTTGACATCTGGGGCCTTGCTGATTCTGGAGGGACTGCCCCTCCCAGAGTTCGCCAATCCCTAATGATAGGAATGAACTTCCCCTTCAAGCGTGCCAGAGCCGGTACCCCAACTACCTTCTTTACCAGGCCCTCCACATCTGGCCACTATCATCCTGCCCTAATCACTCCAGGCCAAGTACCTGACAACTGTGGGAACTCCCTAAGCCCCAGAGCCCAATGCAATCGGCTGCCAATCCCAAACCTGCTTATTCAGCTTCACCTCGACCTTCCCCCCAGCAACCAAGATAAAGGTTCTTGCGCCCAATTCCTCCTTCCTTCCTCTGCCTCCTGATGCACCGGGTGCCTCACCTGTGGCCCACCATGGTGGTGTCACGCTCCCTCCTCTGGGGAGCTGTGAGTAACAAACTATCTTTTCAGTGGCAGTTGGCTCCTGATCCGTGGCCTTACCACACCTCAGACTGTCTATTAATACACTATATCTTAAAACAACCCCTTTATTTATGAATTACTTTATTTTTCGTTCTCCATTCCAGGCACTCTTTAGAAACAACAACCCATTTCAACCTTACAACAGCCCAGTGAGGTAGATACAGTTGTCACCCCCATTTTAGAAATGCAAAACTGAGGCACAGAAAAGGGACATCCCTCGCCGAAGAACACACAGCTACTAAGTGCTGAGCTGGATGCGAACCCACACACTCTGACTCCAGAGTGGATATCAATATTCTGCTAACCCACTTTCGGCAATATCTGGACTAATAATCAAGGGGTTGCCTTGATACACGGGGCTTGCCAAAGTCCTCAACTGCCAGGGGCGAGGTTAGCTGGCTGCCCTCCTGCACGTGGCATAGCCCGGTTACCTTCCTCTCTGTCTCCTGTCACTGGGGCTGGCTGGGCAGAGACTCAGAATCCTGACAGCACGTGCTACTGCAGAACCCAGCCTGTCACTCCTTTGCCCTGTATGCATCTCCTCTACCTTGTCCCCCAGGAAGATTTCCAAAGATGCCCCCGCTATTTGCATTTCAGAAGGACTCACCCCAAGACGTGGAAGTGGCGAGGGAGGTCAGGACCAGAAGGAGAAGGCACATCGTGGAAGGACAGCAACTTCTGGGCCTGCAGGTCTCTGTGCCCATAGAGGGCCTTATGAGTCCACCCCCCAGTTCCCGCCCCCCTCCAGCTCCCACCCCCAGCTCTGCCCCCGGCACCCAATAGCCTGATGAAGAGACAACAGAAAAGCTCTTCCCCTTCCCAAAAATGCAATGGGCGGCTGTTGGCGCCTCCAAGCCCCGCCCTCCCAGAGTTTACCCTCTTTTATCAAAAGAGTCTGGATTAAACTCTCTGATTACAGATAGCCACCTACTCATTCAACAACTTGTTTCATAAGTGTTTTTCCCTTCCTGGACTCTAACCTTAGTGTGCTGTGGGCTACCCAAGGCAGACACAAGCAGACAGAGGCCTTTAGACAAGGGGAGGCTTTGGCCTGGGGTCCTCAGAACAACTTGAAAACTTTCAGAGCAACTCCTAGCTCCACAGCTGCCCAGCTGGAGAACTTAGGGCAAATCTCTTAGCTTCCCTGAGCTTCTATTTCATAGAGTTCCATGCTTTCCACTTTGGAAGCATCTTAAATTTCATCCCATTTCCCTTTTGATGCCTGGATTAACTTTCCAATATTCCTGCCAATTAACTCAGCCTCCTGTTGCACATCTCCAGGGTCAGGGAATTCATTACCTCTCCACGCAGGGATCTTTGGACAGAATGTTCTTATAGTAAAGGAACTCCATCTCTTCATAATCCCTCGCTCTAACCAACCATCCTTCCATTTATTCATTATTCCCTTTATTTATTCATTCTTCAAACATTTATCAAATGCCTGCCTCTGTGCTAGGTAGTATGGATACAAAGATAAATTTAAGACATGTTCTAGTGCCCAGAGGAGCTCACCATGTAATAGATAAGATAGATGGGGGAAGGGGTGGCTTGCTATGCAATGTGAAAGCACCAAAATAAAGGGATACAAAGTGCTCTGGGTATACCTGGGAGAGTGTCATTTACCTGATGGGGATGCAAGGAGGATGCTTAAAGCCTGTTTCATTGAATCATTAAGCGTCCAATAAAAGAGAATTCTCCAAATACACTGTGATATTGATACTTAGCTGGCTAAGACAATACTACACATTCACTCAAACTAGAGATGCATACCTCTACATATGGACAAGGGAATACAGTCATGATCCATTGTGAAGGAAAATAAAACAGGTTATAAAATAGTTATGGCTGCTTCGGGACAGTTTGGCAGTTCGTCAAAAATTAAACTTAGAAAAAATTTAAAAATTAAACTTAGAATTACCATATTTCATAGCAATTTCACTCCTAGGTATATACCCAAGCTAATTGAAAATATGTCCACACAAAAACTTGTACTCAAATAGCAGCATTCTTCAAAAAAGTCGAAAGTGGAAACAACCAAAATGTCCATCAACTGATGAATGGACAAAGAGATATGATCTAACCACACAATGGAATATTATTCAGACATAAAAAGAAATGAAGTACGGATACTTGCTACAATGTGGAGGAACCTTACAAACAGTATGCTAATGGAAAAAGCCAGACACAAAAGGCCAGATATTGTATGATTCTATTTATGAGATGTTCACAATAAGCAAATCCATAGAGACAGAATGTAGATTAGAGGTTTCTATGGGCTGGGGACGAGGGGAATAAGGAATGACTCCTAATGGGTATAAGGTTTCTTTTAGGTGTGATGAAAATTTTCTGAGATTGGATACTGGTGATGGTTAAACAACTTTGTGAATATACTAATATCACTAAACTGTACACTTTAAAAAGGTGAATGTTATGGTATGTGTATTGTATTTCAAAAAAATAAATATTTTAAAAATCCCATCATGTATAATATCCCATGTTAAAAAACAAAGTTCTACTTCGTAAATTTGAAGATCTAATTGGCTTTTCAAATGATTCACGAACCAAGCGGCATCCCATCTAGCAAGCAGAAAAGAAAAGGTTTTAAAGGCAGAGAAGAAGTAGGACAAGGAAGTCATAAACAAACAAAAATGATTTCAGGCAGGGTTACCTTCTTTGAGGGGATAAGAGGGTCTATTAGGCATACTACCTCACTGGTGCTGACCAGGAAATTCCAGACTGACTGGTTAAGATTACATTCCTGGGGAAGGTTGAAACTACAATTAAGTTAGGTACTAAATCTTCATTTGGTGACGAGGGCTTAGCACAAGTGACTACATTTGGGGTCTGTTGTTTCTTTTTCTTTTTTTTTAACATTTCCCCTCTTTTGATCAAATTCTTGGCTTAACTGAGAGATGTGATCAAAATCTAAGGCATCAGCACCACGCTCAGCTACCGGTCACTTTTGTGGATCCTTTGTGTGGTGTCCATAGCTCATCATGTTTTTGTCTAATTCCCGTGACGGTCACAGGTCATGGCTTCAGGTTCATAATACTTAAGTGGTTATTCTCTTTCCTTCTTTTCTTTTTTTAACATCTTTATTGGAGTATAACTGCTTTACAATGGTGTGGTAGTTTCTGCTTTATAACAAAGTGAATCAGTTATACATATGTTCCCATATCTCTTCCCTCTTGCGTCTCCCTCCCTCCCACCCTCCCTATCCCACCCCTCTAGGTGGTCACAAACCACTGAGCTGATCTCCCTGTGCTATGCGGCTGCTTCCCACTAGCTATCTATTTTACGTTTGGTAGTGTATATATGTCCATGCCACTCTCTCACTTTGTCACAGTTTACCCTTCCCCCTCCCCATATCCTCAAGTCCATTCTCTAGTAGGTCTGTGTCTTTATCTTAGTGAGATCATTTGCGTGGTCGTTAGCAGCTGGGAACGCGTATTTAAAACCTTTGAGAGAATACAATGCACCACAGAAATGATTATGATTGTAATTAGCAAGATAATTCTCAATGTTTGGAGTGCACTCTAGAGCCATGGTCCCTAAGACCCAAACCAATCAAAATCAAATAAGTCCAAGAAAGACTTATTGAAGAAGTCACTTTTTTAAGCCAAGTGGCTTGCTCAGTGATCTTATATAACTGTTCTTATGTAACTAAGTTACTTCCCCAGAAATATTAATCCAAGTGCAGCAAGTGGTGTTGGCCAAAGCACAGTTACCTCCTTGCTC